AATAATTATGCAATTTATTTTATTTTTTATTCTATAATATAATCTAACATTCATAATTATTTATATTTATATTATTTTAATTAGATAACGATACTACGAATAATGATAATAATTCAACTGTAATAGGATATAACGAATCGAATAAAAATATAATAAGTTTACAAAAAGATTCTAATATCACTATGGAAAATGGAACCTACGTAATAGAAGAAAAAACTATAAAAGTCGATTCGACAAATGGAACTTTATTGGTAGACTTCAAAGTCTCGAAGATCAAAGACCACGACTGGTTTTCTATGAATGGTATTGGAAAAGGAGACGAAATCGTTCAGATAAAGGAATACGAGATAGATCATGACAATAAAGTACACCTGATACATCCTAAGATAAAACTCAAAACTGGTGTTTATTTTTTAACTATAGATTTCGATGCCAATCCCACCATGGATGTATTTTATAACGTTGAATCTAATATGAACGATGATAAAACGTAAGTTTTTTTTTTGTTTTTATATTTTTCGGTTAAATTCGAGTACTATGATTTAATTCTAATGATTTGTGTTTCATTCTTTTACGTGACAAATTATATTTTTTTTTCGTTACCATAAATGAGTGACTGAAAAGTTAATGGGATTCCAATATATATATATATATATTTTTTTGTTTAAGATTTTTCTTAGTAAACTAAAATAAATTTCTAAATAAAAATAGTTGTTAAATATTTAACTCATTTTTAAGAATATATTAAATTTATTCGAACATATCGAATATTAAATCGTGAATAAAATAAAACATGGTATTAATACATAAATATGTATGAATATATTAAACGAGATTATATAATATCGATTTAATTTAATTTTAAATATATCAAAAATGATTAATTATATTTGACAAGTAAAATCAAGAATAGAAAAGAAAAGAAAAAAAAAGAAAATCTTAGAATAATCCTGATACAAAAAAAATGTCGTTTGAATGATTTAGGAGGATGATGGGAACGTTATTAAAAACAGCAGGTAGCTGTTCTCATCTCTTTCCACTTTTCAACGACGAGTTATACCTCAAAGCTATATTCTCTTTAACCGTTCAACGTCCCAAGGAAATGAAAGTTTTATCAAATATGCCTTTGAGAAGTACGAAAGATGATGCTGCGTAAGTATAATTAATTCATAAACGAGAGATTTCTTTTTGAAAAATAATTATTATTATTACAAAGAACATTAACCAAAAA